CTACCCCCCCCCCCTCCTAACCTCACCGGGTATTATTACTTTTAACCCGCGCCAGAAACTATATATATATATATATATATAGTCGGATTATTTTGAGAGCGGCTATACAATGTCATTTTTCCGACAACCATCAGGGGCAAAGCTACAGCCTATCAAGAGTAACCACCCTTCGTCAAAAAATTACATTATGTATATTGGTAAAATATTAGTAATTTTAGAGGTATATAACATATATTGAACATCCTTTATCGGAGAACTTTTTTTCACTTCTTTCAAGTTAGAACACCTTTAGGGAAATTTTTGGCTACCACTGACAACCGTTATCTACCAAAGGCATATATTCAGGTCCTAATTAATTATTGTGATCAAGGTATTGACTATCCTTTGTCGGAAAACTATATTGTGTATACAGATAAAGTATTAGATTTTAGAGGTATATAACATATATTGAAAATCCTTTATCGGGATACTTTTTTTCACTTTTTTTAAGTTTGAACACATTTAGAAAAATTTATGGCTTCGCCGCTAACGATCATTATCTACCAAAGGCATATATTCAGGTCCTAAGTTACTGTGATCAAGGTGTACTATAACAACTACCACAATACTCATAACTCATTTGTCACATTGAGATTTTCTTGTGCTAGTTATTTCTACATCATTAATGACTGATTTAAAGAAAATATTTAATTAATATCACTTAGAATTTAAATTTTTAAAATTATTTTAATAATGAACGTGCAACACTTTAAAAAAAGAATTGGAGGGAATAAAAAAGAACTTCATGCAGTAGATTGCCACTGCCACCGGCAAGCTTAGTTTAGTCAACATATAATTTTCATGAACCGTCCAAGTCTTGTTTTCTTTTTGACTTGCTAACTCCATCTTTTAAATTCAACTTTCTCTCTTTCTTTTTTTTTTTTTTAGAAAAATTTTCTCGGAAAATCGTCGCCGCTATTCTTTGGGTACGCACTGGGTAACCTGTTCACTGTGTAATAACTTGCGAATCGCATATAAAATGTAAATCGCCCTACACAAGTTTGGTGCGACGAGCACTGACTGAGGAGATTGCGCGTAAAAATCAGAAATAGCTATATTTACAACTGGTAATTAAAAAATAGCCATAGTTTCAAACGTAATCAAAATTTAGGCACTTTTCATGTAAAGATAAAATCTAAACAAAAACACATTTAAAAATTCGAATATATTCTAGCATAATATACTGGAGTTCGAATTTTTTACATATGAGCTTCCGGCATAATATGCTTGAATTTTATAATGTGTTAGTCTGTTAGAGTTCCGTCATAATATGCTGGAAGTTTATATACAGGAGCTCTATAATCCTGTATATTATGCTGGAACTTTCTGTGTGCTGGAGTTCCAACATAATATGATGGAGTCTATACACAAGAGTTCAATAATCCCGTTTATTATGCTAGAATTTTCCGTGTTTCAGCAAATTATTTTCTATTTTTCAATGACTTCGCAAATGCTGGCTATTTTTTATACTCCCTCCGGTCAACAATAAGTGACCAATTTTATTTTTTATTTTGGTCCAAAATAAGTGTCCATTTATATAACCAAGAAACAATTCAATTTATTTTTTCCAAAAATTACCCTCATGTACGTATCCCTAAAAAGTCTTTTACTCATCATCTTAACTATGATTCAACATTTAATTAAGACTAGTTTAGTCATACTAACTATTGTCTAGAATTTAGTATTTCTTTAATGGATGTGTCCAAAGCAAATTGGTTACCTATTGTGTACCGGAGGAAGTACCATTCTAAAGAATGGTTAGCCCAAGCTATTTTTACGGGATTGCTATTGAGGAAAATCGATCACAAATCTTTCATGTGAAAAATCACTTACCCAACCAACTCAGTCAACCTTTGCGGTCATCCAATCTTCCATTAATAAATGCAAATCTGAAAATTCCCAATCTTCAATAAAATGTAATAAATCATTCCCATGATGCCGCCATCCATTTTTCATGAATTTCAAGAAATGAGAGACTGAGAGTTAAGAGGCCTAGATCTGTCCATTGTCTATACAATCTATAATGCTATTATTATATTAAATTATTGAGTTTAAATTTTATACATTAATGTTGTAAAGATATTTGCACAATTACATACAAGTCAAATTTTTCTCTAACAACCTTACATATTCCGGACTTTTTTAGTTGTTATAACAAAGTGTTATTATAAAGAATATACTTCCTCCGTTCACTTTTACTTGGCATGTATACTAAAAATAGATTTTTATTTTTACTTGCATATCAACAGAAGACAATTTTTTTTATTGATATACACACATTATTTATTACTCATTTCAAATTATTTTCTCAAATCCAATAAAATATGCATCAATTAATATGATTATCATGGTAAATTATGCACTTCATTTATTATTTCTTAAGGGGCGTGAAAAGTCAAAACGTGTCAAGTAAAAGTGAACGGAGGGAGTATATTATAACATAGCATGAAAATTAGTTTTGATAAAAAATAGTGAATGAGTGTATTTATAAAATAGTTATAGGCAAATTCTTTAACGAAGTACTAATTGGCAATAGAGTGCGCACTGGGTAACCTGTTTACTGTGCAATAGCTCGTAAATCACACAGGAGATGTAAACCACACTAGGCAAGCCCAGTGCGACGAGTTCTGACTGAGGAGGTTGCTGGTGAGGAAAATCGATCTCAGGTCTCCCATGCGCGAAACCAGGGCAGGCTAAACTATATTGTTCATATCATTCTTAACGAGATTTATTTTACTCATCGGATCTGAATAAAGACCAAAAAATTTGAGCGACTAATTTACCCGAACAACTCAAAAAAAAAAAGTATAAACAATTTTTACATTGTTATAACTTATATTTCTAATAATAATGCAAGTCGACAGTCTACTATTAAGTATTAATAATAATGTATTTTCATACAAATTGCATCATTGCCTGTCCCCTCCCACTATTCATAACCTCTAATTATAATTACTACCCACTAACCCTCTTCTTTTTTCTTATTTATAACCATTATTTTATGTTTGACCTCACTAACCAATTATTCATTAAAAAATAAAAACCCCACACAAGATATTAATTAATTAAAAAGAAATATCCCCAACAGACAGGAGGAAGCTACATTTGCAGAGAGCACTGCAACTATGGTACTATTTGTAGTATTAATTTTCAGATTCTTGATAATCAATCTCATTCATTAGTAGACTCAATTTCAAAATCATTATACCTCCAATTTTTGTCTTTTTTTCATGCTTCTCTTTTACTGTATTATAAGGTACTACCAAACACTGATAACAACTGATATTTCTCTTTCCCTTTAACTTCAAAGGAAGGTTTCCTTTTTGGTATTTGCTTCAATTAAGGAAGGTCTATTTTCCATTTTCTAAACGACCCTCTTTTTTTCTTGGTATATTTTTATATCTCATTTTTAAAAAAATGGGATTTTTATATTGTTTTGGGCTATGATTTGATTTGAATGGCTTTATTTCCAAATGGGGTTTGGGCATTTTAGAAGTATAAGAGATCTGGGGTTTAGATTTTGCTTCATTGTTTGGGAAGAAGTTGTGTTATAGTGTTCTTGGGTGGCTTATTTCTGCTTCTGGGATCTCATTGCAAATAGGTAAAGACTTAATCTTTGTGATTTTTTTTGTGTTTCTGTGAGTAAAGATTGAATCTTTGTGTATCTTTTTGTGTTTCTGTGAGTAAAGATTGAATCTTTATACATTATTTGTGTTTCTATGAGCTTGTGTACTTGCTTATTGAAAGTTAGAAGCTTTGATGTTTTGTTTCTTTTATATTTAAAGAACTGCATAATTTGATTGTATTTGATCTATTCCATTTTCAGTTGTAACAATCCTTTCTGTTTCATATATGGAATTAAACAGGTAAAGAATGAATCTTTGTGCAATTTTTTGTTGTTCTGTGAACAACCAGGAGGTCACGGGTTCGAGCCGTGGAAACAGCCTCTTGCAGAAATGCAGAGTAAGGGTGCGTACAATAGACCCTCGTGGTCCGGCCCTTCCCCGGACCCCCGCATAGCGGAAGCTTAGTGCACCGGGCTGCCGTGTGAACTTGTTTTAACATTGAAAGTTTGAAGCTTTGATATTTCTTGTATATTTAAAGAAGTGCATAATTTGATTGTATTTAGTCTATTCCCTTTTCAGTTATAATAACAATCCTTTCTGTTTCATTTATGGAATTAATATCATCTCTTTTTCCCTCATAACTCTGCCTATCTGAGCTTGCAAAATGTCAGTTCCAAACCTTTTGTCTAAAAAATAGTCTAAGTGTCTAACTATGATAATCCTCTAATACTGGAATGTATACGAAGGATTCGTATAGCGAATTTCAACTTATATGGGATTGAGACATAGTTGAATGGTTGATCTGTTTTTTGCCTCCTCTCGTCTACACCATATGAGTTGCTAGTTCCCCACTCGTGGGAAATTATTGGGCTTCTTGTTATTGTTGTTGTTGTTGTTGTTCTCGCCTACATCATACGAGTTGCTAGTTATCAGATAATTAGAGGTGTTTCTTTCCGTTGAAATAACCATTTTGCATCTATGAATACATTAAGATAGTAAAAGTTTCCATTTTTAAATGAACAAATTCTTTAATATATATAAGTTACATGATAGGCAGTGCCAACTAGTTGTGATCAAAGACTGATTATTGTTGTTACACTTAAATAGGTTTCGCTATTAGTCTGGTTGTTAGTGTATGAATAAGCGTGATATTTAGAGAACCTCCGATTTCAGAAAATTGCCAATTTACCTTAGAAGACTAATTATTTTATTAGTATTTGAATAAAATAGGCCAAATAGAGCAAACTTGATATAGAGGATTCATATGGCCAACCCCAACATTTTTTTTGGTATTAAGGCATTGTTGATTGATCATGGATACATAAGAATAAGATAGATGATTCCTAGTTCATTTTGGAGCTGCTTGTCTGTATGTTTTTTTTTTCTTTTGTTTTTTTGATTTTCATATTTTCTATTTTGCAGGTTCACCAAGAATGGCATCTGATCTTAATTTCCAACTGTCTAAGAAAACCCATATATTCCATCTAAAGGTGTGGGTTTTATTAGCCATCTTTGTAGGACTTTTTATTGTAATCATTCTTTTGCTGCTGCCGTTTTGCTTTTCTCGTAAAAAATCCAGAAAGTTTCATGATACACTACCCATAAGCCAAATTCCTGATGTGTCTAAAGAAATAAGAGTTGATCAAAATTCAGCAAGCAACTACGGCGGCGTTTACAGGAATCCCCTTGCATATCAGGACACATACAATGAGAAAGATTCGGATAAGCTTTTGGCACATTCAAATATTGACAAGATGAAAGATTTTGACATTACCAGTCAATCAGACTCATTTACTTATTTAGACAAAGACGGAATATTTGAGTCAGGGGAAAATGGAGCTGCTGGAACAGTATATCATCCTTCACATCCTACGAGTGTCCCGTCTCCTCTATCTGGTCTACCTGAATTCTCTCACCTCGGCTGGGGCCACTGGTTTACTCTGCGCGACCTTGAAACTGCAACTAACAAGTTTTCTAAGGAAAATATCATTGGAGAGGGTGGTTATGGCATTGTTTATCGGGGACAGCTGATCAACGGAACTGAAGTTGCTGTTAAAAAACTACTGAATAATTTGTAAGTTTGGATAGGCTTATAGTGTTCCTTCAAAAGTTAGTTTTCTCACTTGCAGTATATATATATATATATATATATATATATATATATATATATATATATATGTTATTTGACATATTGGAACATTCTATCTATAGAGGACAAGCAGAGAAAGAATTTCACGTGGAAGTTGAGGCCATTGGTCATGTCCGACATAAAAATTTGGTTAGACTTTTGGGCTACTGTATTGAAGGAACCCACAGGTACACATTTTCTTGGGCTACTGTATTAATACATTTTTTTGTATTAATAGTGGAGATAAATCTCAGCATTGTTAGTTGGACCACAAATAACGAGACTGCTTTCTGCAACTTCAGAAATGTGAACTTACTTCAGATGTCACTTTGTATCGTGATCCTTGTTGTATTTTAGGTTATTGGTTTATGAGTACGTAAACAATGGGAATTTAGAGCAATGGCTACATGGAGCTATGCGACAGCATGGGTACCTTACATGGGAAGCCCGGATGAAGATTCTCCTTGGCACCGCTAAAGCGTGAGTTTTCTCCTATTTAACTTTGCATTTACTTGTCTCACATTTTTTTTCCTGTTATTAATGCTTTTCATACTTGTAGTCTTGCATATTTACACGAGGCAATTGAGCCCAAGGTGGTGCATCGCGACATAAAGTCAAGCAACATATTGATAGATGATGACTTCAACGCAAAAATTTCTGATTTTGGCCTGGCCAAGTTGCTGGGCGCGGGGAAGAGTCACATTACAACCAGAGTCATGGGCACTTTTGGGTAAGTACTTTTATAGAGCTATTTTGGATACGCTTAATTCTCTTTTCTCACACCTTGTGTTTGGATCTTTTTCTCACAACAGATATGTAGCTCCTGAGTATGCAAATAGCGGTCTCCTGAATGAGAAGAGTGATGTGTATAGCTATGGCGTAGTGCTTCTAGAAGCCATCACCGGAAGAGATCCAGTGGATTATGGTCGCCCTGCTCCCGAGGTATGCTCACCCAATGTTATTATTAGTAAAGAAGTGTCTACAGCGAGCTTATTGCTTTGAGCCACAATTATAGAATCCTCTCCGAATTTTCTCTTTCACTAGGCACATAATTCAAAGCCCATTATCTGACGATTATGAGGTTTATTGGAATTTTAGGTTCAATCTTGGAAATATAGTATCCCACTTAACCAACCAGCAAAACCACTTGTTACTAATAGTATCTAGTTGTTGCATCACAAAGAGAATGGTTGACTAATATGGCTAATATTGAACTTGTTAAAATGAAATGGTAGAATAACTGAAAATTGAAAAATGAGATTATTCAGAAACACGTTGACTGCCGGGATTGCGCATCGAATGAACTTATCGATCGATCTTGCACATTTTACAGTAGGTTATGCTCTCTTAATTCTGCTTCTTATGATCTTTTCAGAACTTTATTCTCTATATTGAAACCTACTTGAATTAAATATCTCACCTCTATCAAAAGCTTTAATTTCATAAATGGAACTACATATTATAGGTCATTTGAAACCACAGTTGGTAATATGAATTTTAACTTATCCAAAAAAGGTAATACAAACTTTAGAGCTAGTTGAGCGATTCCACGTCTTTGGCCCTTCTAGTAAGTATTTTGCTAGCTAGTTTGGATATACAATAAAGACCTAACTAGGAAATAACTATTCTTTCAGACCGCTTAAGCATTTAAGCTAGGTTGAGCTAGATAATTTAACTGTAAGATGAAAGTCTAATGGTGACCTAGGAATTGAAGGCATAATGTGTTGGTTCATTAAATCTCAGGAGTTGGATAAAAGAAAAAACAGAGAAACAGTCAAAAGGATTCAGTGATTTATGTGATTCAAGATCTACTTTTCTCTTTCCTTTTGGCTGGAGAAAGTTTCCATTTTTTAATGATAACTTCTCCATCGACACGCGATAAAATTGGAAGGATACAGAGAAAAGCATGTCACATGCGCAAGGATGACACACATAAATCGAGAAATGGTCCAAAAAAAGTTCTCTCATTCGAATACATCTTGATTTTCAATATTGTGATTGTTTTGCTGGTATGCTGTTTGTTACGTGTACAGGTGAATCTTGTCGACTGGCTCAAGATGATGGTTGGCAGCAAACGCTCAGAAGAAGTGGTTGATCCAACAATCGAGACAAGGCCTTCCACAACTGCCCTTAAACGAGCTCTGTTAACAACTTTAAGATGTCTCGATCCAGATTCTGATAAAAGGCCTACAATGAGTCAAGTTGTTCGAATGCTTGAATCTGAGGAATATCCAATACCACGAGAGGTTACATACTAACTGGAGATGTTCTGAGTTATTTGGTCGGAAAGTTTTGTTAATCTGCCAGATCATTAAGCTTTTCAATGCTTCTAAATTTGTTGGTATTTTTAGGGTCGAAGACGGAGAAGGAATCAGGCAGGTGTTGAAGAAACAGAATCTCATAATCGAAAGTCTAACACAGATAGCAGTGAAAAACCAATTTTGACGATGAAGAGTAGAAGCGATAAATAAACATATAAACACACAGGGGCAATCGCCAGATTGATGACTTAAAGTTACTGTCTCTGAAATGAGAGGAGTGGCACATAAAGGATCCATAATTTTTTCAATTTGGTATATCTTATCATACTTGTAGATGTTTGAAAGAATCATTTTTATGTGCATGAAAATCAGTCAGTATATATAAGTTCCTCATTTTTTGACTCTGCCTTCTTTACATACATGGTTATGTATAGCTAGTTGACATTCTTTTGTCCTATCCATAATTTTTGTTACCTTTTATTCTTGCCAATGGCAAAGGTTCAATGGTTTCTGCTATACAATTGAAGTGTTGGGTCAAACTTGTTTGTAAGTTGTAAAAAAATTTTGTGTGGAAGAAAGACAGCTGCAACTCCCCAACCCCAATATACACCAATAACCTGAGAGTGGATACACTAATTTTCTTTTTTCTTTCTTTTATCGGCTTGGATATTTTGAAGGTTGACCTCGTGAAGGGAGCCTTGGAGCAATGGTAAAGTTGTCTCCGTGTGACTTATAGGTCACGGGTTCGAGCAGTGAAGCAACCACTAATGCTTGCATTAGGGTAGGCTGTTTATATCACACCCCTTGGAGTGCGGCCCTTCCTCGGACCCTACGTGAACGCCGGATGTGTTGTGCACCGGACTGTCCTTTTATAATGGTGGCATCCAGTCAAATTGCACGCACCTCAACTATCACCAAGTACCTATTACCTTCCACCAACATAATTGCCGCATAATTTGCAATCCAAAGCTTATATAGGTGGGAAGAAATCACTTGTCTCTGATGGGATTTAAACCCTCGTCTCACATAGTTTTTATCACATCTCAATTTACCACTAGGAAGCACTACCTCTTGTATGATTAATGTTGACAAGGTAAACTATGATTCATTTCAAATGCATCAACTCAAGATGTTCCTGCAACTTTGGGGGTTGTCTGTGTGTGTGTTGGTGGGGGGGGGGGGGGGGGGGTTGGCTCTTCATATCAAACACTATTGCAAGTTGCATGATAAGTATCCTCTCAACACAAATAGACAGTAATTATCTTCTCAAGAAATTGAAATGATAAGAAGTCACCATAAGGACAAACTGTAATACATAAGAAATCAGTGCTAAAACATATGGAAAGCTAAAGCCAAACTACTCTAACTTCTACAATCTGCAGTTTATAGCTTTCCTTTTCCAATGATCGTCTCCTATAACTGTGGTTTGATACACCTCAACAGAATCCATGAAAATCAATATGCAAAGCCATTTTCATCACTGCAAATATACAATAGTTCTTTGGCATACAGTCAGCAGACTCATACGAACGTCAATCTCAATCTTTGTCATTTCATGACGTAAAGGCTGGGGAACGGAGAAAATTCACAAGCTTGATGTTTAACTTGGTACAGGTCGAGGCAACAGAGGCTGAAGAGCCTTTACTACAATGCTCATATTTGGGCGGAAATCAGCTTCATATTGCACACACAAGGCAGCAACTGCAGCCATCTGTTTCAGCAATGCAGATTTAAGAAAATGGAGCCAACGAAAATCAAACAGAAATGACAGAATATAATGAAATTTTCATTTATTCAAATGCTCCTTTCGGTTATTAATTAACATATTTGGGTCGAAGAGACAGGAATATAATTTCATTAGGCAAGACTTTCTGTTTGAATGCACATACCTTTGCAACTGCCTTGGGAGGGTATTCTGTATTTAGCCTAGCATCAACACACTGCTTGACTTTATCTTCACTAAGTCTTGGTGTCGCCTGTTTAAGGTGGTGTTTAAAATCAACTAAAAATAAAATAGAACTACTCCATTGAAACTTGTATATCAGATATAAAGCATGCGAGAATCTAGAAGGCTATACCCAAGTTACAAGACTCTGTTGTCCACGTGGCAATGTATGATCAACAGGTTTACGGCCAGTAAGTAGTTCCAGTAGCACAACACCAAAGCTGTAAACATCACTCTTTGAACTCAACTGACCAGTCATTGCATATCTGCAACACAGGGATGAGGGTGGAGGTGGGGCGTTTGGAAATTCCATCAGCATAAAAATGAATGATACTTTCAGTTCAATATTAGATTAGTCACGGGGAAGATCAACTAATAATAAATTAACCAAGCCTGTTGATCATTTGTATTATGCAATCAGAAATGGACTCACTCCGGTGCATGATAACCAAAGGTTCCTAGAACACGTGTGGAATGAAGACGAGCTGCCATATCAGGGGCTTGATTTGATAAATCAAAATCCGCAATCTTAGCAACGTCATCATCAAAGAGTAAAATGTTGCTAGATTTAATATCACGATGAATGATATGAGGCTGCGCTTTTTCATGCAAGTACTCCAGTCCTCTTGCAGCCCCAACTGCAATTTTAACTCGTTGAGCCCATGACAATACCGGACCTGGCTGTGCACCTTTCACACCTTTTCTTCCTGGAACAACAAACTGAGAAATTATACATTTTCCAGCAAAATAACAAAATATGTTAAAAAAACGTTGTAAAAAAGCATGATTGGCCACACAGAAAGTTCCAATTCTCTTCTGTCGACTTGGCCATACATACAGAAGAAAACATAAATGGAAGTTCGTATGCCGACTGACACAAATTCCTTTTGTTTAACATGTATACAGACAGAAATAGATATCCACATCTAATAATACCAGAAAATAGTCGAAATACAGATGAAATGAACCAAACCCTAAATACAATCCGCGCGCATACACTTCAGTGAATGTTCAACAGACACACAAGATGCTGTTGATGAATGACCAAAATTTTCTCTCTGCGCCATACTTCTCTTAAACAAACTTTTCAACTTCTTCAAATACCTTTTTTTTTATTGTAATATTACTCTCAATAGAATACACAATCTAACCAATATCTTAATTTTTAGTGTTTATTCTAACGATGTTAAATGGGCATTGAGATGGAGTATAATTTAGAGAGAGAATTATATACATGTGAGAATGCACGGGAGAAAAATCTATTTTATTAGCCATATATATAATACGTACTATAGTCCTACTACATATGGGACTAGGACATATTCTACTCCTACTACATATGGGACTAGGGCATATTCTACTCCTACTACATATGGTACTAGGACAATTTACACATAACTATCTAACACAACAAAAAAAGGGAAAAGAAGAAAGAAAAATTGATGGATTCTTAATAAGCAAGGTTGTATGAAGATATCTTCGTGCAAACTTACTCTTAGTTATGGAACTTTACAAAACACGTTCATTATACATGTCAGAGAATACATTAGGATGAAGCATGTGCTGAACACTATTAAGGGGGCGTTTATTGCATGTTGCAGTGAAGTACTTAAAGTGGAGTCGGAAGTGTACTTTGACATAGTTGGATACTTGGACTGAATAACAATAAATTCCAAACACAAGATACACAGACGAGTTCTTAGGATTTAAAAAAAAGAGCTACAGAGACGAGTTCTTGGGCAAGGGAAGCGCGGGGCACGAAGCATCCCGCGTTCACGTAGGGTCCAAGGAAGGGTCGCACCACAAGGGGTGTAATGTAAGCAGTCTATCTTGGCGCAAGCATGATTACACGGCTCAAAACCCGTGACCTATAGATCACACGAAGACAGCTTTACCATAACTCCAAGGCTGCCCTTCTAGACGAGTTCTTGGGATTTGCTAAAAGAATTGACTCATCTCGGATTGAGGAACCAAATGCACAAAGAATTATGGATCAATCTACAGGTTTTAGTACTAATGAGAAGGATAAAATTAAGACTTGGTTCCAGTAGGAACTGTAGCACAGTTAACTTACCATGAAGAATGTCATGAAGAGATCCATTTGGGGCATACTCATAAGCTAGTACACGAAGACCTCCATCCACGCAATAACCGAGTAATTCAACCACATTTTCATCTTTTAGTCTTGAGACCATTGAGACCTAAAATTGCATACATCATATCCAGGCTAGGTTACAAAGGTTATCTGCAATATAACATAGTCAAATGGAAAGATAATATGCGGAGCAAACCTGAGCTAAAAATTCTCGATCTGGCTGCTTACTCGAGTCTAACTTTTTAATGGCTGCAGCTCGCCCACTTTTCAAGACACCATGGTATACCCTTCCATATGATCCCTCACCTATCAAAGATTTCGTGCCAAAGTTATCGGTGATGTCCTTCAACTCATCAACAGCGATGGAAGGAACAGCAATGGGCTGGATGTTCACAGTCTGTGTCTCTTTTAGTGCACTTTCTGTGGCACGCTGACCTCCGTTGTTGCCTATGAAAATTTTTCTCAGGTTAGGATGCTATGGAAAAAAAAATTCATTGAATTGAAGCAGGATATTGATGAAGAAAAGGGCCAAAAATAATAGCTAAAAACCCCAAGCAATCAACCAAAGACTAGAACTTTTTACATGATCATTTATCAATTCTCAACGATTCAATTGGAACATGATCACGAAGCATCAAATACAAACATACCAAATCTTTGAGCTTCCAATTTATTGATACCCAAGTAAAGAGTTTCAACAATTTCTTCCCATTTCAACAATAAAATAAATTCCCAATGCTCAAGTATTCACCATAACCCTAGCATCTAGCCCACGGATATTTCTCGCTCCCCAAAATAAGTATACACTATAAACCTAGAAGTCCCAAAACCAAACCCCACTTCACCAACCTTTCCCTTATCTGAAACCTCTAATGTGAAGGAGGTAATGCCTCCAACAACTCCTAGGCTTAGAAGGGATATTACTAGAACAACTACTACTACTATGCCTCAATACTAAACGAATTTAGTCAGCTCACGCGATATTGCTACATTAGCAACTATTACTATGCATCAACTCTAAGCTAAGGTCAGCTAAGGCTTAGAGGGGATACTGCTACAACAACAACAACAACTACTACTACTACTACTACTACTACTACGCCACAATCCTAAGCAAATTTGGTCATCTAAGGCTTAGAGGGGATATTGCTATGACAATTACTACTACTGGCCTCAATCCTAAACTAATTTAGTCAGCTAAGGCGATTATCGCTACAACAACTACAACTACTATGCAACAATCTCTAAGCTAAGGACAGCAAAGGCTTAGAGGGGATATTGCTACAACAATTACTACTATGCCTCAATCGTAAACTAATTTAGTCAGCTTAGGCGATATTGCTACAACAACTACTACTACTATGCAACAATTTTTAAGCTAAGGTCAGCTAAGGCTTAGAGGGTATGTTGCTACAACTACTACTATGCCTCAATCCTAACTAATTTGGTCAGCTATATAAATCATCTTATATTCATTCAGCTCTATTTGAGCTCATTTCCACAGAAAAAATATAATGGAAATGGAAACAAAGTACAAGGAGGAAACTAACCAGCTGAATTGTGTGACATGAATGGCCCATTATCAGCAGCTCTGTGCATTTCATCATCCTCACAACAGCTAAAGCAGCTCATACTTCTTTTCAACAAAATTCTGCAAAAATACAACCAACTTAAAAAGCCTCCATTTTTAACAAATTCAAAGAATCTTGAACAAAAATTGAAGAAAAAAAACAATCTCTTAAAATAGGTCGCCCCCTTTTTTTTTCAAAAAATAAACAAAAATTGAAAGAAACCCAAGATTTACAAACATACAGAATTTTAGAAAATCAGCAAAAAAGAGCAGAAATTAGAAGTTCTTACAATATTCTGCAACAGATGTAACGTTCTTGGAAATTAATGTTGTGAAAATGTGTAAAGTGAGAGAGCAATAAAGGAAGAAGAGAGTAATCAAAACCCAATGTAACACGCTATAAGAGAAAAGTACTAGTAATACACAAATATTATAGAATTAATTTTTTTTATTTTATTTTTAATTATTATTATTAGTAGTATTATATATAGTAGAAGAATAAACAGTTTGGAAAAATAATAATGTTGGCTAGTTGGTGCGTCTCTGTCATCCACCCTTGACTTAGGCTCTTCTTTTTTATTTACACATGCACTGACACATAAGATAAAAAGTGTTTGTACTTTACACACACACACACACTGTTTTTGCTGTAAATAGAATGGAATTAACACATTCTTTTTTTGTCTTCCACTTTTTTTTTGTTACTCCTTTTATGCTTAGGCCTTTCCATCTTTTTTAATATAATTATTTGACAAACCATGTATTAATAGAAATTAAATAACTTTATTTTTGGTTACATTTTTTGTCTAATTTTACCCTTGTTAGGAAAATATCTTCTTTTTTTTTTTTACCTCAAACGGAGCTCGAACTTGAAAGCAACTTTAGACCATAGTTAAAGATTGACGGATACCATCAAAGGATGTGGTGCAGTGGATGGGACTGCTCCTCCCTTAACCAGAGGTCTCGAGTTCGAGCCCTGGGTATGGAAAAATCTTTGGTAGGGAGCGCTTCCTCCCGAATGGGGCCCTACGCGGCGCGAATCCGAATATAGTCGGGCTCCAATGCGGGTACCGGACACCGGGTGGGAAACCAAAAAAAAAAGATTGACGGATAAAATAAGGATATTTTTTCGTGTAATTTGAACATACTGAGTTCACTCATTTTAAATTGAAGCTCCGTTAATGATAAGGACAAATATAATATAATTTTCTCACATCAAGGATATAAATAAATTTATTGAAATTTGGTCTTTACACGTTAATTATAGTGTACGAAATACATGTGTTATGTGTATTTTGTCACAAGAATAATTTTGAAAAAATGACAGTGTATATTTTTTGTATGTATATACATTCTGTATATTATATACAAAAATTATACAAATTTTATACACTTTTTCGACTACCAAATATAAATAGTTTCTGGCGCGGGCTAAAAATGATAATACCCGTTGCGTTATTTCAGCTCCAGACTCGATCCGCAAGAGTTTTTTAAAAGGTTAATTGTTGGTAATAATTCTAATAAGGATTCTAATTCTAATAGAAACTCTTTCTAGTAACAATATTTTGCTCCAAAATAATACATAGGCGTTTGTTTGTGGAAAACTTAGGAGTAATTGTATTATTTCAGTTTTTGCCTCGAAAAAAAATATATATTCTAATTTTAAACTCTTGATTTTTCGTGACAAAAATAATTTTTTGCGTTATTTCAGTTCCGGACTCTACAAAGGGGGGTCTTTCTACAAAATTTCCAACAATAAACGCCTCTTTTAGAAACTCGCAAGTTACATAATTATTCCTTATGCGCAAATATAGAAAGTTGTAATTATGTAAAATCTAAATTGGAAAATTTAAACTCTCTCAAAGGATTAAAATAGTAAAAACATAAAAATAGTACAAGAAAGATTCGAATCTGCACAAAAGAATCCTTGTCCCTATTGTCAAATCTATAAATAGAAATCAATAATCGAAATGTTTAATCATCCAAAAAAAACAAGAAATTAAGTTTCTCACTTAAGAAACCCTAAAGAAAATTCAGCTTTGAAGGAATTAAATCAGAAATAGAATTTTCCTTCCATTACAGCAAAGAAATAAAGGTAAATATTTTCTCTTTATACATGCAATGAATTAGCCTTCAAATGAAATTTGATTAAATCTTGATAAATCTCCCTTACATTTCTACGAGGGACTGATTGTCACTGACAAAATTAGAAATTCTAATAAAAGAATTTCGACAAATGAAACAATTATTAAACCTGGACTTCAAACTCTGTAACCTGCAACAATGTTTGAATAAATTTTACCAATATTCTAGAAACTTTTGCATAGTATAATTTTTTCAATTAGGTAAATTCAATTAAATCCCTTTTGAATCATATATGAAATGACATTTTTGCATCATTCTTCAATGAATTTCTGCAATTATAGTTCATATCCTCCTTTTGACATAAAAATTTTCAGATTTTTTTCTTGACTTTCTTATATTACAAATAATAAAAAAATATTAATAAATTTAATATGCTTTTCTTTTTCTTTTTTATATTATTATATTTCAGGAGGAAAATTCAAAAGAAAAAAGGATAAAAACTTATCTGCACCGGACGTTTACATCATGACGACCGTCGCCTTTACAATATGCATGGCATTGTTCTTGATGTTCAATATTTTCTCAAATATTGAAGCCACAAGTAGACTTCCAAACGAAAAATTAGTGGTGGTAAAAAATAACCACACAAATTACCTTACCATTCGATGTTTTTCCTTTGACGACAGTTTCCCATTAAATCATTTGAAGTCAAATCAAGAATTCAGTTTCAAAGTAAATATTAGAAGAGTTTTTCCTACTGCTACAATGTTCAATTGCTCCACAAATATGGGAACTTTTGTTGCATTTCGATCAGATTATCAATGTGTTACAGATCAAGAACCTTGTCAATGGATGTTTGATGAGAATTTTACATATCTATACAGTTCCAAGGATAAAGAATGGGTACTTCATGAGTATAATCCGAATTATGAGTCGCTTAAACGAGGAGGAGTCATGAAAGGGTATTATGTTAACTAATCGTATGCAGAAAATGGCCTATCAGAAGCAAAGGCGGATCTAAGACGGGTTCTGTCGAAAAATAAAGGAGACACAAAATATCAACGGCAGTTCATCAATTGACGACCTACATCAACTGGTGAAGACAAACAATCTAGTGTTTGGAATGTCACTTGTTAGAATATCTTAACTGAAGGTTGGTTAAGAGTTCAAGTGCTAGGTGTATTAGTTATGAATTTTAAGCTAGCTAAAATTGTTTAAATTTAGTGTTGAATTACTTAGAGTTTAGACAAATAGGTGAATTAGGGAGGAAATGATATTTTATGTTCACTTACAATTTGAATAGTAAAAGATGACTTTACAAGAATTTTCTTGTTTTATTTACAAATGCAATTCTATATTAATATGAATGAACACCAAATCACCCCAAAAAAAAAAAAATAATAATAAGGCCCTTGGTCCCGAAAAAAATTCTCAATATACTATACTTTTTTTTGTTTTAATTAACGTGAAACTATTTACTTATTAATCCGCTCTAAAAAGATTGACTTATTTTTATATTTGACTTCTTTACCATTAACAAAAAGCTACTATGCCCAAACAAATATTATGTTATATTTAAGATCATAAATTTACCAACAAGGGTTGTGGTGGAGTTGTAAGTACTCCTTCATCCTTAACCAGGTACGAATCTGAATTTAGTCGGGCCCCAATGTGAATACCGGACACCGAATGGGAAACCAAAAGAAAAGATCATGAATTTAAAATATTTTACTTATTTTAAATTTTGTGTTAATTTAAATTATGTCACATAAATTAAGACGGAGGGACTATTATTTACTTGTCACTTCATATTAAAAGGGCAGTTTAGGCCCAGGCACAAATGACAATAGACAAAAAATGACGACCAATTCCTTTTCTTTATCTTCCTCATCTTCTCTCTTTTCCTCTCCTCTACGTCCTCCCGCCGGCGGTAACCTTCGCCGTCTCCTCCACTTCCGGCAGCCACTCACTATCACCGCCGCCGGCGCGACTTCTTCTTCAGTGGCATTTCCAAAGAAAAAGCACTGGAAACAAGGTGAATATCCAGGTTTTACTGAACAAACTGGGTCCCATAACAAAAAAAGAACACCTATTAAGAATATTAAGAAAAAATTGGACAGAAAAAATAATGCAACAGCTTGGGTTAATACTGTTACTGAAGCTCTTTCTGATCATATTGATAAAAAACAATGGCTTCAAGCTCTTCAGGTTAGTTCTTGCTACTATCCCTTTCATTTCATGATTTTACTTTTTTCTATATCCTTGTTAAATTTTGTGTCCCCCCCCCCA